GTTCAGTGGCTACATCAACTCAGGCTTATATGTCCTTGTCCTGCTACCTATGAGCTGGGTGACCTCCCATTCTTTATCACTTTGGTGGACATAATTCTAATATCTAAGGATTATTGTGACAATTAAAGGACAAACTGTGCATAAAGGACAAGCATTCAAAAATTAGCAGTTGTTGCCTACTGGAGTAAGCACTTTAACTCTAAGAGCTTTTCTAGATGTTTGCCTGGAAGCCCAAATAGGTCTCTAGCTGCAGCAGTTAGGAGTTATCCCAGTCACGGCTAGAATTTTCTCACTGGAGGAGCAGTTAAGAAAATATGACAATAATACAGAAATTTTTAGGACTGTCCAGAAAGCATGTAAAGGCATATTCTTTGTTGTTTTCCAGAAACAGAATGAGTAGCAATGAGAACAGTGTCCAAGGAAGTAAGTTAGATTCTATATAGGAGGTAGTTTTCAGTCATAGTTCCCCAGCACGGAGCCGGCTAGTGTGTAGGCTGCCAAGAAAGATTTACGCAAAAGATTGGTAAAACATCAGTAGAAGGTGTTAGAACATTCTTTCTTCATTAGTCAAGGTTACTTTATAAGTCCAGATGCCATCAGCCATGTAAAACTGTAACGTCACAGTTGATGATTAATGTATTCAAGTTCTTGTTGTAATATATGGCTGTAAATTGACTTTTACTTTGCTAATCGAAAGGTTGTTGTTTTTTTTTTTAACAAGATTTTGTGTCCCTACACAGGCTTTCCATCGTCTTACCGTGACCCAGTATACACGTTCTTTTCAAATAATTCCTTTTGAAACGGAACAATTGAGAACATTTTAATAGTGATTCCATTCTAATCAAATTTAACATTTCATTCCCTTCAAAAATAAACAGATTACTAAAGAGGCTCCTAAGTCAAAATATGAAAGCCAATTAATAAACTGTTTGGTATGATTAGTCCTGACCCTAAGATAAGACATTTTTGTCATTCTTTTTGAACATAGCTGTCAAATCGTCATCTGCTTTGGTACTATCTCTGCCCTGTGTTTCACAACCTGTATGAGTACACAGATTACGGCTTCCTTTTCCTTCCTCTGACATCTAGCATACCCTTTGAAAGGGAATGAATGAAATGAATGTTGAAACTGGCTTTGTATTAATTACTTTGTAAGATGTTTCATAACAGGAAATGTTTGACATGTCCTCAATAGCTGGGAATATCAGCATCTCCAAGGTTCTCGGTGGTCGTTTGAAATGCTCACGGAAGGACGGCAAAGAGCATTTTCTTTCTTTTATCTTCTTAAAATAAGTCTGTGGCATAAGGAATGGAATGTAGTACACCCTGCTGGGCTTGAGGTTTATGAAATAAGAACGGCCTTCCAGGCACCATAGTGTTAGATTGGATTCCCAGGGGCAAAGGGAGATTCTGAAAATCATTTTTAATGTCCTATATCTAAGGCTGTGGTACCTACACCAGAGCAGAATCCCACCTGCTGTTTACATGGGCTGGGCAACACCCCCAGAGCAGTAAAAACAGAGCTTGGGAGAAAAGGGGGAGTTCAGAGATTTGCCATGTACTTGAATGTTAAATGAGTAGGATTCCAATGCTACGTAATGAACTATGTGAATCAATTTGTTTCCCATTTTCTGCCTCATGGAAATTAAAAAGCGTGGTTACTGTGAACCCACATATTACTTTAACTTGTGAAACATGTACATTTCAGCCTGTACAGTGTGGTTTATTTATTACTGAACAAGTGAAGAGACTGTAAGTCGGCAAAGATCTAGATCTTTAATCATTATTTGGGTTGCAGCTGGGCAAAATCCCCCTTTACCTTACACTGTCTCATGAGAGTTGTCAGTGCTCATGGCTGCTAAGAGATGGGCGTGACCCCAACAGACTAAAGATGAGGGAGGGAAAATAGGAGATAAATAAAGGAAGATGATGAAAAGGATGTCCAGGACAGAAAGGGGTGGTAGGAAACTGGGGGAAAGGAAGAGTTTCTAAGGGACTACCACCAACAGTCGTCTTACAGAAGGATTGCAATAGTTTCACACTTCAGAGGGCTATAGAAAAGACATGGGTGAATACGGGGTGAGGCATTAATCATTTTCCCACAAATGTCGTTCAAAAGACAAAATCATCTTCTCTAAAAATATGTTACTTTCCCTCTGGATCTTTCTAGATTTTTCATTTGGCCAAAACTGGTGCACATTTCTCCATTAGTATGTATCAGTTTTGCATAGGAACCCCTTGTCTAGTGTGTCCTCCTTTTATATTAAAATTGTAGAATTTTAAAAGACACTTTATTTGCTTTTTTTTTTTTTTAAAGATTTATTTATTCATTTGAAAGGCAGAGTTACAGAGAGGCAGAGAGAGAGAGTGAAGTCTTCCATCTGTTGATTGACTCCTCAGATGACCGCAACAGCCGGTGCTGGGCTGATCCAAAGCCAGGAGCCAGGAGTTTCCTCCAGGTCTCCCACACGGGTGCAGGGGCCCAAGAACAGCCATCTTCTACTGCTTTCCCAGGCCATAGCAGAGAGCTGGACTGGAAGTGGAGCAGTGGGGATTTGAACCAGCACCCATATGGGATGTTGGCACTGAAGACAGGGTCTTTATTTGCTATGCTACAGTGCCAGCCCCAAAAGACACTTTTAAATTCATTCAATTCTTCCTCCATTCAGCATTCACTAAAAGCCCAGCATGTGGAAGAAGTAAGATAGATGTAGAAGGAAGGGCAGGCAGTGACAGTAGGACCCTGGGGGAGGGTGTCTGGTAGGTGAGATTTGGAAGATCATTTGGGTGGTGGACCAGGACGCCCCTGTGGCCTACCCAAGTTTAGAACTAGCTCCATGGGCAATGAGGAGCCAGTGAAGTTTTTTAAGCAAAGAGAGGACAGTGCAGGGTGTGATAATAATGTGCAGAATAATTACAGGAGGTGACAAGGAGATAGCCTCAAAGGGCTGTTGTAAGATTGAAGCCAAAATCTAATTATAGGGCCCAGAGGTGGTTGAGGTGATGGGAATAGAAAGGCAGCAGTAGGGAGAGCTCTACAGAAATGGGAATGGAGAGTTGAACAACCATTTGTGGAGTAGGAGGGAGGAAGACATAATAAGCTCTTTTCCAGACTGACTTGTGTCATTGAGAGTTCATTGTAGGTATGAAAAATAATAGAGATGAGCATTTGGCCTAGCGGTTAGGACACTGGAATCCATATCGAGTGTCTAGGCTCAAGTCTTGAATCTGCTGCCAATTCCATTGTCAGTAGTGATGGCTCAGGTAGATGGTTCCTGCCGTCTACTGGGGAACCTGGATTGTGTTCCCCTTGCCTCATGGCCATTGCGAACCTTTGAAGAGTGAACCAGTAGATGATAAATGAATGTCTGTCTGTCTGTCTCTCTCTCCCTCCCTTCCTCCTCTCTCTCTCTCACTATCCCTTTCTCTCTCTCCTCCCTCTCTCTCCTCCCTCTCTCTCCTCCCTCTGTATGTCTCTGCTTTTTAAATAAATAAAAGATTAAACATTTTTAGAGACTTTGAATAAGATGAATAAATTGCTTATTTATGATTGTTACTTTATAGATAGAATGATTCAACTGAGAGTTTGAGGAATTTTAGACAGGTAGACCAATCATGAAGATCAACAAAGAGCTTCAGTTTAGACTAGTAGGTACACAAAAGAGGAGAGGGTTTTTTTATGGAAAAAGGATAGCAGCATCTCTTGCATTCTTTCATGCCTTGAGCTTGTTTATTAATCGACAAAACAAAGCACAGCATGTTGGTAAAAAAGAATGGAATTTGGCCAGAATCCTGTACAAATCCAGCTTTTGGCGCATAGCAACTGTATTATTTAAATCCAGAGGCTTACCTTGGCCCCTTATGTTAATATGTTAATAGAATGATGGAACTGGAAATGTGTATGAATAATTTTAGACATGTGGACTACTAGATCATCCTCATAATAATAACCTTAATTTCCTTCTACTATGTACAGAGTTGGGGTTGTGTGCTTGGCCTAGGGGCTAAGATGCGCACATCCTCTATTGAAGTGCCTGAGTTCTGTATCCAGCTCTTTTCCCAATTCCAGATGCAGACCCTGGGAGGCAGCAGGTGATGGCTCAAGTAGTTGGGTCCCTGCTCCTCCTGGGTCAGGGTTCTGCATTCAGTTCCAGGCTCCTGGCTTTGGTTTGGCCCAGCCCTGGCTGCTGCGTGTATGTGGCTAGTGTACCAGTGGTTGGGATCTTTGTCTCTCAGATACATAAATCATTTTCTTGGAGGTAGATGATAACGATACCTATTTTGTAGGGTAAGAGAGAGGAGTTGAAGGGATATAAAATGAGAATATACTATATATGAGCATGCAATTATATAAATGAATATGTAATACATCTGAAACACTTGTCCCAGAGAGCATGGCAGATAGTACACGCTCAGCAAATGCTATTTCTTTAACCCACAGCAAAAACATGGAACAGTGGTGAAATGTGCCTCTTTTTGACCCTGCAAAGTGTTTTGGTAAAGCAAGAAGCGTATTCGGCATTGACTTTTAAACGAAAGGAAGTGGCATTCGGGGCACACAGGAATTTTTAGGAGGGCACTCTCTACTGGACTCACGAGGTAAAGGCCTCTTCCTGACAGTCTGGCAGCACCGGCTGGTGCAGTGGCTCATTTGGACGCTGAAGAGAAGGAGTTAAGGAATGCCCTTACTCATGTTACATGAAGTAGCAGCAATTATCAGATGGAAACAGGAATTGGGAAGGGGGGAAAACGCTCTGCAGTAACTCATTGTTTCCTAACCAAGACGGTCTGTGCTTACATTAAAAACCGAACACACAATCTGGCAGCTTAATCAGATCGGAATAACTCTGGCGTGAGGGGAGCAGTATCCCAGCAGAGCCCCCAGCTGAACCACAGCCGCCAATCCACTTACAGTCACAGCTTCAAATCCCGGAGCCAGGAAGCTCTCCCTGGGCGAGACCCCGCCCTCCCCGTGTGAATCGCCAGCCTCGGGGGGCGGAGCCGGCCGATGCTAATGAGCGAGTTGCCAGGCAAGGCAGGAACTTCATTCTCCTTCTCTGTGTAAGGATCGCAGAAATTATGCCCCTTCTGTCACCATGAGCTGGCTCTCCAGTTCCCAGGGAGTTGTTCTCACTGCCTACCACCCCAGCGGCAAGGACCAGGCCGTGGGGGACAGCCATGCACAGGGAGGTGAGGAAGCCACCTCGAGGTAAGCCAGAAAACAAAACCCAACCCTCCTACCTGCTCTAGGAAAGAAGTGACAGGGAAGTTGGTGCGGGGAGAAGGGGATTACCACTGCACTTCGCACCTGGCTTCCTGCAACCGCAGAGCTGCTTGGCGGGGTGGGGGGAGGGGGCGCTGGGTGCTGCTCCTCCTTTCCAGGTCCCGGACAGCCCTGTCATTCCCGGTGTGGCTGGATATGGGGATACGGCTGCAGGGCTCTCAGACCATTTGCCTAGCAGGTGCACTTGCAAATGTTGAAAGATCAGATGACCGTGTCTGACACACTTCCTATGAGATGGAATTCTTGAATGGGCTCAGGGCACAGCCACTGGAACTTCTAGTTGGGAAAGTCTGCCAAAAAAAAAGGGGGGGGGGGAGGCTGTTCACTGTGCAAGCTGTTGTTGTTGGAGTGTGTGTGTGTGTGTGTGTGTGTGAGAGAGAGAGAGAGAGAGAGAGAGAGAGAATGTATTTTCTCTCCTCACTGAAAGCAAACCTCCTAGGCAAAAAGCCCAGGACACTGGCCTGTGGCAGTCTGCTTCACATTCTTTTATGTATGTACCCCCCGACCCTGCGCCCCAGCCCTGGCTTTTAAGAAGGAGTTTCTGTCAGGAGGTAGCACTCTGCTGCCAAAGTGAAATGTGGTTAATGTTAAATCATTTTATAGGCAGAAAGGGCAAATGTTCTATAGACCACTGTGGGGCAAAGAGTACCTCTTTCCCTTGCTGTGCACTTTGTTCTGTTATCCAAGGGCTTTCCCCCCTTCTCTCCCCCGAATGACCTTCTTGCTAGCAGAACATTTTTACCTCCAATCTTAGATATAAATAGTCAATATTGGCCTAGAAGATTGCAAAAAAGCAAATGCTAACCTACGCTGAATTAGTTATCAGTAAGCACATTTCCTCCTTGATGCTTAATGTGATAATAAAACCTTCTTTGTTCTTATGTGACTTACGTCTGTGCCTTAAGAGCTGACATAATGCCTTCTTTCATTTGTTGTAAAATCCTCAAGCATGGAGGAGGGAGAAAAATCAAAGGCCTGGCTCTAATACTCTGTGTCGGAAGCCCAGGCTTCATGAACTTTTTTTCAGAGAGCATCCACAGGATGTCTTCCATTAAATGAATTCATGTCCACAGATGCGAAAGAGTGGCTGCCTGCACTTTTGATGTGTTCACGTTTTATTTTCTGTCATTGGAAGTGTTTTCTGGGAGAGAGCGTCCCATGTTGTCCTTCCATTTTCCTATAGAACATCATGTATAAGTAACATTTCGGCAGCAAGCAGACCGCCCTGCCTTAAGTTGGATTGCACATGGCAATCTCCATGGCCAGAATTGGGTACGCTCGGCATGGTCTCCGTGGACTCCAGGCTGAGGTGTCCCAGGGGTCTGAGCAGAATTTTGCATCTTGAGTATGAGTGTGAGTAGACCTTTAGGGACCTGGACTCCAAACTTCTCATTTTCACTTGGAGGACTCCACCCCCAGGGATGGCTTAGGTGGTTGTACCTGTAGTTCTAGGCTTTTGCCGGTGGCTGATAAGAGACTCTTTATCCTGTGTGTGCAGTTCTTGTTGCTTGTTGTGGGTGGCCTATACTTGAGTGGGTTCAGAGAACAAGAGAGAACAGATCATTCTCAACACAGGCAGAAGCGGAACCAAGGAGCACTAAGGTGACACGGTGGGCAAGGCCTGCACAGTGAACACTTTTGGTGGGGTGGCAGCTCCAGGTCTGTTTCTTAGTGCCTCCCACCTGCCTGCTGGCTCCCATATTACATGTCCATAGCAGCCCCAAATTCTCACAATCCCTTTGGAACCTGAAGCTTAGTTATTTTTATTGGTTGAAGGCGAGCCTGATTTGAAAGCTGGAAGAAAGGAAGGAGAGAAGAGGGGCAGTTCTCATTAACTTTGACCCTTAAGCAGAGAATAATTTGTCAGATAAGGGTGATGTTACTTTGGGAGGCAACTTGTTTAGCTTGGAAGGGTTGAGATACTGGAATTGGCATGGGGGTGGGGATGGATGGGTGGAGGAAGGTTTTGAGAGTGTGGTTGGGGCGATGGGGATCACCTATGGTTGGTGAAGGGGGTTGCCCTGGACTTTGGTTCTGGCCAGGTTAGTCACCAGTGGTTTTAGAATTAGGAAGTTGCTCTAGGGTATAAGGTTAATGGTTGATGCCTATTTTAAAAAGCATTCCAATCAGTCAAAACAAAACAGCTGAAACTTTGAAAACAGGACCAAATTAGACTGGATTCCTTGTTGACTGTTCAAAAGTTGCCGGAGAGAGCTCAAATTATTGTCTCTTCTAAGTCCTATGAACTTTGATAAACTATTTAATCATTTAGTTCAGTAGGTAAATTCATGCGCCTATAATGCCATTTAAAATGTATAGCAACTTTTTCATACGATTTAGGGTATTTATAAAAAATATTTGATTTTTAACCTTGCTTTACCAAGTCCTTTTTTAAAAAACTTAGTTGTTTTGCTTCCTTGAAGAATCTGCCAGTCTGCAATTCCCTCCATTCCATCATTCCTCGTTATCAGAGCACATTTGTTGAGATGGCAGATTCATGAATTCCTCCTCCTCCTCCTGGTTGGAGCCTTTAAAGTGTTTGTAGACTCCTGTTTTCATTGTGACTGTAATGTTTTCTCCTCAAAACATCAGGATTTGAAAAATGTGTGTTAACATTAGTTGTTCTGGCTGACTTGTACATGGTCAAATGTTTCCAAAGCAAACTGCTTTTTATGAGTAGCTATATTTATAGGACTTTATTTACTTGTTTTTTCAAGCAGGCTTCTTAATATTTACTTTTGAAAGGAATTTTTCAAAGGATAAGGCACTTTGCCTATTCTTCCTGTTCTTTTTTTACTTTACGTGTTTATTTGAGTGTATTTTCTGATGCTTAACTGAAACTATAGAATTAATTTTTTACCTAGAAACCTTTTATATAAAAGGTATATAATCTTCATGCATTTCATAAATACAAATTTAGGAACATAGTGATACTCCCTACCCTACCCTCCCTCCCACCCTCACTCCCACCCTTCTTCCTCCTCCCTCTCCTATTCCCATTCTTACTGTTTTTTTTACTAAGACCTATTTTACACACATAAGATTAACCCTGCAATAAGTAAAGAGTTCAGCAAATAGTATTAAAAAAAAAAAAACTGTTCCCCAACAGTCGTGACAAGGGCAGTTCAAAGTCATCACATCTCAAAGTTCTCTCTTGACCATCATTTTAAGAAAAACTATTTTAATTGCTATGCCTAGCATGTCCAAAAATATTCTCATATTAATGTGAATAGGTATTTTTTCCATAATCGATCCTTTTCACTCCTTACATAGGTTGAAGGATGAGGTCCTCTTTTTGTCTTCTATAAATGAGTATGTGGGACTCTTGTCTAAGCTTTTGTTGAATCCATTTGCCATTGACATGGGGTAGGCGGAACCAAGAGACATCACACTGTGGTGACATAAACCCTGGGCTCCAGGAACAACAATGCATTTACATCTCAGCTCATTAGTGATGTAGACCTGAAAAAGTTACTTAACTCGCTACCTGTTTTCTGAACTTCATAATAGTACTGGCCTCTTTGGGACGATTTAGTGGGATAGAGTTAGCTTATGGCCATAGGATAGTGACTGGCTCATAGCAACCTGATATTTGCCTTAACACTATGTGAAGCGAAGTGATTATCATATTTTTCAGTATACAGCATATTCTTTTTCATTTCAGATACATTTTCTTAAATGCCATTTTGTCAGACGTTCAGAAACATAGGCATGAACTATGTGGTTAACATTATAATGACATAATAGTTTAGGCCTTTGAAGTCTGAAACACCTTGGAAGTGTTTTTTTGGCCAATAGCGATCTGTACAGTCTGAACTAGTAACAGCCGCCTAAAGCGAGCTTGCCTTGGGGTAAGGATGGGCACAGAGGTTTGCAAACATTGACTTTTATGGTGAGATGGAATGTGGGTGGTTCATTTTGGCAGCCGGACTCAATGCTTCCCTCCTCCACCAGGACCCAGCACTGCCCAGCGTGCCAAATGGAAGAACACCGTCTTCTGCTTGGCCTCGTCCTTGGTTCCATCAGCATAACCAGTCACTCAGTCATCCTACTCAGCAGGGCACCTCCAACAGGTCCTGGAAAATGGAATTGAAAACTTACTGTAGTGCAAAAAAATTTTGAAATCTGTGCATAAAAGGGTCTTCCAAAAAACTTTATGGAAAATGAAGATTATGGAAAAAAACTGGGCCATTCTTAAGTTTTTCATCGTTTTAACTGTAAATTAGTTTTTAAGAGATTCAGTGTACGTTGTAGATAACAATTCTGAGAACGTATTCCCATTCTTCATTTTGAGGGATGTGATGCTTGCCTTTTAATTGCTCACATCTAGGAGCCCTGTCATTTTCATAATTATTTAATTTCTTTAAACTGGTTATTACATTTAGGCCTTTCGAATATAAGGATCTAGAAATTACAACTCCTTCCCCCGCAAAGCGACACACCTGCTGAAAATTTGCTTCGTTTTCCTGAGCATACTTCTTCCTCCTGCTGTACAAGTACATCATGCACCCTCGTCTCTTCTAAGTGGGGCTTGTGCTCATTTAAACGTTTATCTACGTTCTTTTTGTTTTGTTTTGTTTTGAATTCTATTTGTATGTCTGCTTCTTAGAGTGCAATGGACCCACAACAGTTACGCTTGCTAATGGCCCACATGGTAGCTAGGCTTAAATTGTTTTTATTAATTGGGCCAACCAATTTCCCGTCACATGTACATATCAGTCTTATTCACACTTTAGAAAAGCAACCCAAAAGGTGGGCATTTGTGGCACTCAGGTTAAGGTGCCACTTGGGACACCTGGATCCCATGTTGGAATCCCTGGGCTTGAGTCACACCTCTCTGCCTCTGCTTTTTGTTATTGTTGTTTGGTTTGTTTTGTAGCGGGAAGCAGGCTAACCAAAAGAGAAGTGCATGTGATAGACCAGGC